TAAGTTAAGACAAGTTGACTAGAAATAAGCCAAGCTAAGACTAGGCATTCTTAAGAAAGAATAAGACTCCCTGTGACTATTTGGGAGCTGGGTGGCAGGCCCCCAAAGAATAAAGAGTAATTCTGAGGATGTAGACAACAGAAAGAAATAGTAAATGATGAGCAAACTGTAACATATCATAGCTTTGTAGTAGATATTATTAAACATGACTTACAACACAAAGCATGTCTCAAAGGAGTAACTATAACTTCCTCAGGATGACTAACTAAATGTCAGAGCCAACTCTGGTTTAAGATTGTGACATCTGCCCTTTAAAACACTGCCTCTTACGATCAACGTCTCAGACAACTGCTGTGATGGAAAACTAAGGGATATCATATACGTAAATCGGCTCTGTATGTGGGAGGGGCACCCAGCATGTGAGTAAGACATCTTGTACACTAGAGTTTGTTTCTTTTAATATTTAAGGTTAATGAATATGTTTCAAGTATTTAAGGTTAATGAAAATAAACTTCCCAGGTACATTTGTTTGAGGGAAGGAATCTACAGGAGTTTTTGACTTTGTATTTTTTTCTCTGACTACAGTAGAAAAGACTTTTAGGAACTCCTGTGGCATGGCTTTACATCGGACCCACTTGGTTTGAAAATACAATTATGGATTTCATTACCCATACAATCCACAATCATGGGGTCTTTTGGGATCAAGAACACCATTTTACTGGAAATAACTTTAAAATGCATGTCTCCAAGGAGATCTCACATAGTGGATATTATGAGGACAGTTCAATGTTTATTAAGTGCAGGGTAAGACAGTCACAATGAATTTCTCAAAGCATTTCTTCTAGATTTTACTCTTTAAGAATTTTGTCTCCTACACCTATTATCAACAGTCTCTCTTTACTGATCTGAGTTCCTTTTCACTGGAAACTGAGAAAAGTGAAACCTGAAGTTTCTAGTAGAGGCAGGATTTCATTTGCTAAATTTACATCCTGTCTGCTTCCACGGGTGCTGAGGATTAAATAAATGACGACATCAAAAGGGGCACAGCAACTAACTAACTCTAGATGGTAAAGAGAGGAACCAGTCCAAGGGTAGATGCAATTCATCCTCGGGGGAAAAGAACACTTACTGAAGAACTCACAGATGGTAATAACCAGATCACATTTGTATTGCAGTTATTTTTGGATAAAGATAGGAGGACGGGAGCCGGAAGCCGGAAGCAGGGATACCTGGTATGAGGTAGAGGTTCCTTAATCAGAGCAGAGGCAGTAGGTTGGACCGAAGTGTCAGGAGGCAAAACCCCCAGGACTCAGACAATAATGCCTAAGGTATAGAAGGTGTGCTATGTACCAGGGGCCTCAAGACGTAACTAGGCACGCCAATCCTCTCTCCTGCCACACATCCACTACTCCTGTAAGGTTAGCTATGACCACACCAGGAAAACGAGATCCACTACAAAGGACACTTGAATGTCCAGAGTCCAGAATTAATTCACTATTCTCGGCAACCATGCCCAAGGCAATGGAACTTATATTTGGACCTAGTCATTTTTCAAAGTCCTGGCACAACTATCATAAAGTTGGCCAAAATTTATGTTCATAGTTCACACTGAAAAGTTGAAGGGCTGAGTACCTGGGAATCTCAGTGTGAACTCCAGTTTAGAATCATCAAACGTGGGAAACTCAGCCATTCAGTCAGTCCCTTTAAAAGTGAAGTCAAAGCTGGGTATGGGGACTCACACAATCCAACAGGTAACTTGCTCCTGTCCATGACCATGTAACTTGTTCAGGCTAGGGAAAAGTAAGATCCACTCCAAGGACATGTAAAGTACAAAATGCAGTTCCATAGTCACGGTAACCAAGTACAAGGCAATGGCTCTGCCAGACCAAATCCCAGAGACAAAACAATGTAAAGCTGTGGGTCCCTCCTCAAAGTGGAGTTCAATCTACGCCTGTATAAAGCAGAATAAGCAAACCTTTGCTTTTAGCCTACTGAGAAATGGAGATTGTCAATGCAGTCTAATTTAGCCTACCATGAACAATCTGGTAAGAAAGGTGTAGTCATCTCAGATGTGTGTCTAGTCAGGAATCGTACTTAGCAACACACAAACTGTAAGTTCAGAGCTTCACTACAATGTGCAGCAAGACCTGCAGATACAAGATTTCACCAAGATGTTGTGAGGAGGGAGACACTTCACCTGTTTCTGAGAAGAAATAATGGGAGAAAAAAAAATGTAAATACAGACTTGAAGAATTGTATTTCTTATAGCTTAAGCATCAATACTATAAAGTGCTGTTTTCTCTTTTGAGAATTTCAAATGTTGTGTATCAGCTTGCTAATTTCTTTCTAGCACATGAGGAGAATTAAAGAATCAGGGTTAATAACTAGAAGCAAAGGGAACCCCTTTTCGTCTTCTATATACTCAACTTTTACGACTGGCTTCTGCCTCTAAAATAAAACTACCTTGACCACCAGCAATTGTATGGGCCAGGTAAAATAATACCTTCGAAGCACTAGCTTAATAGACACTCATGACTCTATAATATGTTACAAATGAGGAAGCATGGAGTTCACTCAGCAGGAACCAAGCGAAGACTATTTCAAAACCTGTGCTTTGCACGACCTTTACACCTAACTTCCTCTTTGAGCTAAATATTGTATTCATGGTCATTGAGTAAATGAGAAAATAGCTTCAAGTTGGGGGGGGGAGTGTGTTCCAGGGTTCAATAAGGAGTAAAGTAGAAACCAAAGAAGTGTGCCGGGGTAAATGTGATGGGTATGAGGCCAGAGGGTGGAGGCAGAATGAAGGTCTAGAAGGCAAAAGGAAAAATCAGGTTAAAGCCAACATCACCCTACCCTTTGTCTTCCTGAGTAAACACAACAGAAGGCCTCTCCTGCTAGCAACCAGCTCGGAGGATGAATTAACAGACCTTGTCCAGTGGCTTCCTGACCCATCCTGCTTGTCTGTGTTTGAACTGTACAGCAGCACACACAACAGCTGACTGCATGTTTAAACTGAAGCTCCACCTCTGGCAGCTGACTCTACACGGTCCAGAAGGGAGGCTTCGTTTCTTCCTTTCTAAAATGGTAACAATGCCCTCTTCAGTAGAAATCTGTTGTCTTCTTTTTCTCCTGATCCAGTAATGCCAAAACTACATACTGAGTGATCTTAAACTGTTTCCAATAGTAAAGTACTTCTTATAAGTTTAATATGTAAGAGACATTAGGACAGGAAAAAGTAACACTGTACATCAATAAATATCTTCCTCAGTATACACGACGTGATTAGGGACTAAAGAGTCCATGAAGAAACAGAGAGGGCCATAGGTTGAGGCTCTATCTAGGTGACAGTTCAAAGTCTGACTCGACCACTCACTTCCACGTCCTGTTACTGTGGACAGTAACAGCAGAGAGAGCAAACAGTGGACAGACAAAATCCAACTTGTGCTTGCAATCCCGACTGGGTTGCTTATATTTACCTTATGTAATAATCCCAGTAGCCTATCCAACACGGTCCAGTACGTTCCTCATTTACAAACAGAAATGGAGGTGCAGAAAGAACAGACAATTCAGCCAAGGCCAGCACACACTTAAGACAGCGGGACTGCAGAGCATGAGCCCAGTGTTCTCAGCTGTTGTAGGCAACAGCAATTAGATGTGTGCAGTCACTTCTACCAGCGGAAGAAAGGCAGACACCTGGAAAGTCTAGAAGAGCAGTTAGCACATTGTGTATGGATAAGAAAGATGCAGGCTGTGCTGGAGACAGAGCACACTACCAGAGTGAAACCATGCACATTCCTGGGCCCCTGTCACTTTTCTCAAAGTCTTGGTACAGCAGCACCTGTACCGGATCGATTATAAATTGAAGAAAATTTATGTTCATATTTCACAATGTGAAACAGTAAAAGTGGAAAGGCGGAGGCCAAATTACTGCTGGATCTCAATACTTCAGGCAGTTGCCTTATAGCTGAAGGGCTGAATACCTGGGGATCTCAGGTGTAAACGCTGGCTTAGAATACACAGGAAACTCAGGCATCTATGTAGTCCCTTTACTGTAGAAGTGAAGTCAAAGCTGGACTCGGGATTCAGGCTTCTAACCCAGCACTCCTCAACTAAAGAGGTTGAGGCAGGAGAATCATTGCCAGTCTGAGGCCAGCCTGAGCTACTCAGTGAGTTCTAGGACAGCCTGGGCTAGAGTTACACAGTATCTTAAAACAAAACAAAGTCAGATAGGTTTAATAGTACTTTCTAAAGCCATACAGTTTCCCATAAAGTGGGCACTACCTCACCAGCAGAGTTTGTACCTTAAACCAGGTGCACGCTAGCTACAGAAACCTACAGAATAGGCAGAAAATACGAATACAAGGGCAGGGAAGGAAGAGTCTTTAGACGGTGTAAGAAAAGTGGATGTTAATTCTGCTTAATCACCTGAATGACTTCAAATTAGAATTCTAAAGAAAGACAAGCAGGATTCTTAGCTTTTACACAGTATTACAGCAAACTACCTTTAAGAAATTCATTACAAACCTAGGAAACTCCAAGAACTGGAGTCTACTGCTGCCTCCTCCACTGTTAAAATAAAAGCGGCCCTCAGCCCCATGTAACCAGATACTTGAATCAAAACCTGGATAACAGGGCACAGTAAACTAGGGAGGTCAAGTGATAAAGCCTTATTGCCCAAGAGCTGCCAAAACTGCTTTAGACGCACAACGGCACACTTACCTTTGCCCATCTCCCACGGCCCAAGTGAAAAGGATACATTTTTTTTTTTAATCAAACTCAAAAACAAGCACATGCATCCAGAAAAGTAGTTCTTTATCGAGTCTTCCGAGGGGCCGTGTTCTATGCATTTGTAAGATAAATTTCTCAGGGTATCATGAAAACGTCAATGACTCCTCTGCTAGGTATCTATCTATCTGATGGAACGCCTCCCAGGGTGGTGAGAAGGCCGCTAAAAGACAGACTTGGGGAGAGAGCCGGGCCAGCGGGACCCCACTTACCGAAAACACTGCATTCTGAAGCCCAAAAGGTATGGGAGTCAGCCGGGCCAGGGCCACCACCTTCAGGCCGCTTCCTCCCTCCACGACGCGGATAACGGCGCTCAGCTTGTCGCTGCTCTGGATCCTGGCGGCCACCCAGGCGGTGAGCAGCCGCTTGCAAACCACATGAGCGATGAAGGTGCCGATGAGGACGCCCACCACCATGAGCCCCATGCCTAGCACGAAGCCGTACAGGTAGCCGGCCGCCACGTTGAGCACGATGTAGCCCCAGCCGCAGGGGAAGGAGACCACGATGAAGCCCACGACGAAGAGCAGGACACCGAGCAGCGAGTCGAGGCTCTCCACCCAGAGCAGGAGATGCTGCAGGTAGCGGCGGACCAGGGCCAGGGAAGCGAAGCACAGGGCGGCCAGCACGCACACCAGCACGAGGCTCCGGCACCAACAGGTGCTGCCGAGGCAGCAGCACCGCCAGTTTCTCACCTCGGCCAC